CTTGACTCATTTCGACAGCCTTGGAAATATAGTGGTCCAGAGGGACGATCACCACCTACTGGCCCACTACTTATCACAGCAACTGGCTTTTCCACAGAGGTCTCCTGTGCCAGTACTGACCAGACCAGACCCAGACCTACACTGGTAGCGCTGCTTGCACAGCCCATGAGTTAACTAACCTGCTATACAGACATAAGAAAGAGCCCGTTTTCCCCAGATTTTATAATCAGTGGATTCATAAAGGTGTGCGGACGTGTGAGGTTATTTTTTTTTTAAAAGAGAATTGAAAATCCATTGATATAAACTGTTGGAAGTTCACAAAACTTCATCAAATGCCCTTTGCATGTATGCATATCATTAGGTTCATTTAGAAGACCGCTAATAACATACAATCTGCCCCAGATCTCTTAAATAATCAGAATAAGAATGACACAGTGACACAGGCTCAGAGACTACATGACTTTCTCATTCTTTCTGAATTGTGTTTTTAAAGTTATTAGATTGCTAAACTCAGATTTCCTGGCAGGAGATTTAAAAGATTGCAGAAAAACTATGAAGCCCCGAGGGGATGTGTGCACAGGGAATAATTCCCCGCTGCTCTGTGACCATGCTGTCAGCGCCAAGTCCCGTCTCCTACACAGGTTCTGGGCAGAGCCTGGTGTTCAGCTCTATTTTAAGTCTCCCATTAATATGCATGAGAAGAGACTTGGTGGAAATTTCGAGTGTATGGCTAAGGACTCCTTTCACCCTGTAGACATGTGCCACCCAGAGCTGCCAGCGCCTCTCTCCCATGAGCCTTCAAACTGACGCCCCCCCCACGACAGTCAGTGAACACCGAAGAGGACCCCGGGCCCTGAGAGTCGGGGAGGCTGCAGGATTCCTCTCTCCAAGCCAGAAAACAGCTCTGGAAACAAACAGCCAGGAGTTAGCTCAGATCTGCTGCTAAAAGGCTGTATTCCAAGTGTAGCTGGTTTTGGACAGAACTCACTTTCAAAGTGGATTACAGCGCAGTAATCCCTAGAGTGGGCATGAATTCAAAGTAGTTCAAGTGGGCAGCTGAGTTAGCATGCGTAGGCTGTAAAGGAACAGGTAAAGGTTTATTCCACGTTGAAAAGAGAAGAACGTAAACACTGTTTTGGCTGTGGAGCCTTCCACAGCGTCTGTATGGAGAAGAAGGCTCCACAGCTGAAACGTTGTTTTGCCTTTCTTCTCCTTTCAGCATTGAATAAACTTTTACTTGTTCCTCCTGAATTCAAAGTGTGGATCCAAGGCGGAGAGTTTGTTCCTCTGGCTGACGGGTGTAACAGATTGACGTCAGGGGTTTGCAAGGCCTAGCAGGACGTGATGACCTGTTCTATCCTGAGAAAGATGCTGGAGTCACAACCACAGCCAGCTGCACCTCCATTAACTCCAAACTGCTAGAAACAGTTCTCAGTCGGTGTAAAAACACAGGAAAGTCAAATCCTTGAGTGACCAGATCTAACCCAGGAATTAAACGCACATGTGAATGAATAGCTTACTTTCAGTAAACCTTCCAGCAGATTATACACCAGTTTACTTCTCACTCATCCAGCATGAGGAAGGGGTAAGGGTTGAGCCTATCCCAGGAGGCACAAGGTGAGGACTGCGTCCTGGATAGGAGACCAGTCCATGGCAGGGCCCACACATGATCACGTGTGCACACACATGCACATGCGCGGTCACGCATACACGAACACACTAACCTAATCAGCATGCCTTAAGGGGAAACCTGAAAACACTAAGAAAACAACGCCTGTGCCCTGCTTTCAGAACCACCTGAGTCTGACTCACCTTTATCCACCTAGAAGGCTCCGCAATCCCGGAATCAAACCCGGGACCAAGGAGCTCTGAGGCAGCCACTCCTCCGAGCTGCCTACATTCCTTTTCATGCTTGTTGTAACTCATTTTCCCCCAGATCTCTCTGATTAGACCACGTCATGCAAGCCTGTACAACACCCATTCTAGAGCTGAGCTGCCTCATAGCAATACTGCTGCCGCGGATCGGAAGTCTAGCCCATTCGGTCATTTGCTCCGCCTGCCTGCCAAAGCCTGGCAGAGCCGCAGACGGCCCGCGAGGTGACGAGAGTCCCGCTCAGGCAGCGCAGAGCTCATCCTGCTGTGGGGAAAAAAGCCCCCCCCAGCGCCTGTTAGTCCGGCAGTCGAGGGGTTTCCTTGTGTTCAGCGCAGAGCCCCGCTGGGGAAGAAGAATGATACCTGACTCTCCTGCCAGCCTGTTTCCTAATTTACACCACTGTTATAATGAAGAGAGGGGCTCTGAAGGAAATTAAAATTAAAAATAATATTAGTATTTGTCGTTACTTTAAAGGAATGAGTGGGCAATTCTTTATGTAAGATTTGATATTTATCCTCCTTTTTATAATGTGGGATCTTGATTTGATGAGAAATGTCACGTGTTTCTTTACAACAGTGTGACTGCTACTGTTATGGGAGCTAATTAGTTATTTACAAATCGACAAATATGATGATTTAAGACTGAAAGATTAGATTTTATAGAAAATAAAGGGCAAATGTGCATTATACAGTATGAGATAAGATTGATTTAGTGATGTACAGGATTTATGACAATGTAGAGTACAGCTGTGGGAGCATAATTTAGAAACAGTGGCTTGAAGACACGTGCTGCTCGTTTCACTTTACGTTGTCTCTCATTGACTCTCTCTTTCGCTCATTGGTTTCAAAATGTGAACGTCTGTTTTGTCTTGTTGAGGGGAAATGTTCTGAGCATGGGAAGTTACTGTCATTATCCAAAGATCTGCTTCCTCTTGAGTGGGGTTTGTGCAAATGAGTCTTATGGTTGCCTGCCGAGGGGTATGAAAACAGAGATTTCCGACTAGGAAACAGACCAGCATTTGCATGTCCATGAGATTCGTTTTTTTATGAGATCTCCCACGTATTAAAATATATATTTTTGGAGAAAAAAAATGCTTTTAAAATGATAGTCAAGTATCAACTCTTTGTGTTTGATGAAACTATTCACAACATAGTACAGTCCAACAATATCAAAAATATCATCCCAGAGGGATTTTTCAGTCTTATCCTGAGATTTTCAGAATATCAAAAAACCAAGACTGGGCAAATTCCCGGAAAATGATATTCATACTGCAGACACTGTTGTACTTTGAGTAAGCTTCTTCACCCCAGCTGCTCCAGTCCTCACTACTGTAGCAGTGGAGACCAGTGTTGCTGGGGGGTGATTACTGTGATGGACTGGTGTCACATCCAGGGGGTGGAGGTGGGGGAGTAATGTGCTCTCTAGTGTTGAATGCTACAGAAACCACAATGATCTCTGGCCTGATATGAAAATGACATACTGTATACGTACCGTATGTCCAAAATTACATACTGTGGTCTACATACTGTATAATGGTATTGGGAGTTACCGCCATGCATGATGAGATATTTAAACATGTATTTAATATTTAAATATGCTTACCACATTCCATCATGTGCACATGTAGCTTTTCATTATTTCTTAAACAACTGCAGGGATCTGATAAGGAATATGATCTGATGTTCTACCCAAAGGAAAGTAAGAGCTACTCAGGAGGTTTCCTCACCTCTGGGGTTTTTATTTTGTGATATACTCTGAAACAGGAGCCGTCCTATAATCTTTTTTTTTTTAATTTGTCTAATTCCTGTGTTAAGGCGTTGACTTTGCCGTCTCTGACAGTGATATTGTAATATTTCTTTGGCCAAACAGATGGTTCCTAGGAATTTCACATTTCAGTGTGGAAGCTGATCATGTTCTGTGCTTTTCTGTTAAGAATTGTTTTTCTTATTACCTTATCCTCGTTTTCTGCACTTCCTTTGGGGAATTTAGACTGTCCAAAGTGCCACTCAACTTCTGGCTCAATCAGCAGGAGAGAAATCTTCTCTGAGCAGCACAGGGCGATCCTTTCGCCTCAATGGTTGCATCAAAAGCTTTAGGGACAGTCCTGAGATCTTCTGGAAAGCCTGGGAAGCTGTCCTTGTTGTCTTTTTTCTTAAGAAGAACGATCCTTGTTGAAACTGGGCTGTTTATGTAAGGAGCAATGTGTGGCTGCATGTGTTGGTGGTGGTAAAATAATTAGCAGCTCCTGGTTTATTCTTGGCTGGGGGAAGAACAGTAACAGCTGCTCATGTTTATGTTAATCCTAAACCTGAGTAAATCTAACCTTCATTTTAAAACGGTAAGAATAGAGTAAGAGTAGTGTCTACATTTGCCAGATCCATTTAAAATTGGCTGTAGCAACACTAAACCCCTGCTAATTATGAGCCAGTAGCCCTGGTTATCACTTGTCACCACAGCTGCTGAGCGTTCTGTTTTACCACTCTCTCAAGCAGAGTTCACGGTGATACTGGCCTGTCCAGTCCTGCAATTTACTGACAGATATCTTTTCATTTGGTTGCACACTTATTCTTGTCAATTGCTGAACGAGATGTCTAACAGAATTCCTGGCAGCAGAACAGAGATGTATTTAGGGCACAATAATCACAATTGTGACACTTCTACTAAGTATCGTAAAGAATGATAAAACACCCTACATCTCCAGAGTTATGAATAAATTTGTCAAATTTGTGGGAGTCTGGAACAAGCTATCCAGCAACATTTTTGAATCCTGGTTTCTTCCAAGAAACAGCTGGAGGAGATGCTCAGATTAATTGGCTACTAGCAGATGAGCCTGCTGAACTGAATGACCTCCTCCTTGTTTGTAAACCTTCTAATGTTTTGAAATTTGAATGTAGAGAAAAGTGTGGATTGCATTTTTAAGGCAGGAATGTCATTAGAAAATAAGTAAATACTTAAGACGGAAGTCTTAGAGTAAGGTGTATTTGGAGTCGTTCAAGTTTCAAGTTTCAAGATCATCTACTGGTCCTCCTCACAGAACGGCCAACTACAAATTGCTGTAAAAATCAAACGCGAAAAGGAATCATTCATTAGAAGCAGGAAGCTCATGCTGTCCTGTCGTCTCCTGCAGGTCCTACGGCGAGCTGACCAACTGCACCTACCTGATCGCGCAGAAGATGAACTGCTTCTGGCCCAACCGGCTGGTGGACGAGTTCTTCATCGGCATCCACAGGCTCTACTTCAAGAACTGCTCCCTCTCCGGCCGGCTGCCCAGCGACCCTCCCAACAACATCCTGGGCCCCTTCATCGCCGTGCCCATCCTGGTCACGCTGCTCATGACCGCCCTGGTCGTGTGGCGGAGCAAGCGCAGCGAGGGCATCGTGTAGGCGCCCGCGGACACTCCGCCGCCCGGGGGTGGCTCTGTATATACTTTCTTTCTGCCCAATACACACTAAAAAAAAAAGAAGACTGTGGCTGACGCGAATGTACTGTCTCATGTTGCATCCTACACTGCACTCCTAAGGCAGTGCGGGGAGAGAGTAGGAGAGACCCCGAGAGGGGTGAACTGAGAGCCACATCCGTCTGGCCACCAGCAGGCTCGGAAACGGGTCTCGGACGCGGAGTCGGCCCTTTCCTTACCCGTCACTGAGGACGTTCTGTGGCACTCCGGTCTCTGCAGTGCATCACTGCAGCCTGACCCAGCGTGGGAAGAGGTAATGGCACAGAGCTGTCTGTCACTGCGAGAGCTGCTTGGCATAGGACTGCCCGGCGGTCACACAGCGAGGCTCACTCTCTAACCTCCACCGAACCCTCGGTTTTTTAAAAGACGGGACAGTTGTACTTTGTCAAAAGTGGCACTTTCTTTGAAACGTCCTAGGAAAACCAACCACCTTCGATTGACATAGAGTGAATTGCACCAGATACTTGGAAATATCTAATAATGATAACAAAAATGATGCTGAAGATAATAGCCTCGTGCAAACAGAAGGCATCAGTCTCTAAGATACGGGCTGCATATACTAATAATAACAACATCCTTTTTTATTATGGCGTACTTGAAATTTAATTAAAAACACAACAAAAGCAAGCCACAGTTAGTTTTATAATGCTGATCTTGTCTGTTAACAAGGTATGTCTGTGCAGATGTGTGTTTGTGTGTGAGATCATGGACGTGCCTGTCAGCTGGGGCATGTGTGCCCACCAGTGTATTCTTTCTACACAAGCAGCAGAACATTCAGATTCTTTCTTTGTTTCAAAGGTGCCAAGTACAAACTATGGCAACAATTCCAAGGGTAATTATAGAACAGGGCTCAGCAGTGCTGTTCCTGTTACTGGTTGTGATGTCACCCCTTGAGTGTAGAGGAGTTCACCCCAGTCTAGGGAGCAGCGCTGTGTCTGCTTGGAACACAAAAATGTCCATGATCAAAAACCTGTCAGGGGGAGAGCACAGATGACATTTTCATAATTGCAAAAGGGTTTTAACAGCATATCTGACTGTTCTGTACAGATAGCCATTCCCCTCTGCCCCCCCCACAAGAAAATCTCATTTTTGAATGGTGGTGTTTATGTACAGAGCCCCAGTGATTTACATGGTGCATACTGTGCCATTCAGTCACACTGAACACTGTAATTAATTTGCTCATGCCAATAAAGCTCTTTGAATTGGAATGTGCAAGTGTGTTTATTCTGACAGAGACTGCTAACCCTATCCTTCGCTGATTGCCAGAGCCTAGACGCGTTTCTGTCCTGGTGTAGAGATGTGGAGTCTAGTGCCAAAAGGATGTCTCTCCAGTCAGGCTGGCTGTACAGTGTGGGACAGTAGATCCAGAGGTGAATTCAGTACTAAAGAATCACTTAAACAATTAAATTTCACTGGCTGAACAGTGGATTGGACAGTGACCTCTCCTTGTTGCAAGCCTTTGAAAATCCAGATGGAAACAGCACCACACCAGCATTAAGTGAAGGGAGGTTTCCTGGATATTTTGCAAAGAAGTTTAATTTTGCTAAACATGAGGTTTTACAAACAAGGAACAGAGTGAATGTTTCCAAAACTCTCCAGCCATGTTGTTAAAGCCGATTACCTGAGGTCCTTCAAGAAAAGATGATTAGAGGGCCACTAAGGTGCTGGTAACTTAGAAGAATTAGATTAATATTATCTTGAACTTTGTAGTCTTTCGCTGTTCTATAATCAGGAAATTGGTTTCTAGTAACAACCTTATAATAATTGCAATTGCAGGTGTTTTTATGGCCATTTGGAAAGGCCAAGGAGTTGCATCTGTCTCGGTGAAAGCCTGGCAGGAGACTACGCGTGCTTGAAGGAATCCAAATCTTTGGAAACTGCCTTTTCCCCAATTAAGAGCAAGTCAAAGCCAGAGCATCTTAACAGCGGAATTCCTTAGGAATACATTAATTCCATACCCCTCCCTGAACATTCTCATACTGTGTAAATTCCATGGACCACATTTCTGCTCTTGCTTAAATATTGAACTCTGGCATCACAAGAAGCCAATATAATGCTTTATTACAATGGACACTTACCCTAGCTCAGCATAAGACGTTAACGGTTTCCGTGTGCGTACACCATGTTGAGCTCGAGTCCCAAACTGGCCTGGAATGGACACAACCGCCTTTTGGAAACATTCACATCGCTGGATGTAAGGCAACCTTAAAAATGTATGTTTTAACCCTTAATGACACTAGAAGTGAAACTGTAATGGGCATGCTAGGCACTGGAACATTCTTGTAACCCTACAAGATGGCGCTTCTTCAGGATCCCAGTTGACTTCCCTACTATATGGAGTCAAATCCCTGCTGTGACACGCTGTGAAGTGTTTTAAAGAATCTTTTTTTGTCTTTTTGATTGTGTACCCAATTTAGACTCACTCATTGCTTCTTGACATCTTGGCACTCTCCCACCAGCAGGTCTTGTACTGCACGGGGAGGGAGAGAGAGAGAGGAAAGAGAGATTCTTGGATAGCCTTGCCCACTCATTGAGTCACTCATCTACTGAGAGACTGCAAGCTCCACAGTGCCATATAGAAGCGCTTGCGTAGGTAGAACTCACAAGGTAAAAGAAAATGATCTTTATTATTAAAAACGCCTACACATTTCAGCAACAATTTGCCATCGTCAGCATGCAGACGGATGCAGGCAATGTCGGCTCAAATGGTTTTTAATGTAATGAGCGTTTGTTTTTTTGGGGGGCTGCACTAGAAAAAGCTGAAGAGCTCCCTTATTCAGAGGCACAAGGTCCTCTGCTTCAAAAACAATAATAATGACTTGTGATTTCCAATAGAACTGGCTAGAGATCAGAAGGTTAATCAAATCATCAAGATCTTTTCTCTGCAGGAAGAACAGCTAATGTGAAGGGGGAACTGGTAGCTGAAAGTACAATAGCAGGTCAGCTAATGAGAAAAGCAATAAACCAATAAGAAAGAGAGCTTTGTTGTTGTTTTTTCTTTGTCTATATTTAAATGAGAAGAAAAGCTCTTTCCATCCTTTTAATTATTCCTCCTACTGTCTGCAAATCATTTTGAAACTTAAATACATACCTGGAACTTTTATTAATCTCACTGGAATTGTGCTTTGATGCTTGACTCTCTCGAGCTTCTGTAACAACCGAGGCTTGTAAAAGTCAATTTTATCGCTAATTAGCATCCCGAAGCCCCTTTGCTTTGCTCAGCGTTCAGCAGGCGCACATGCCTCATATTTACATAGTCCATTAGGAAGAAATGTAGAAAGTCCAGAGGGCCACTCGCACCTCATCTGGTCCGTCTCCTGTTAGTCATGTGAAGGTGTGTGCCATCCATAAAACAGTAACTTGATTCTCGCCGGTGACCTCCAACAAATAGAAAAAGCGATCTGCAGCTCATTGAAAGCTATTTGAAAATTTTTAACAGGTCACACGAATGTGAATGGACTTTAAAAGGAGCACTGTGATGCCATTATCAACCAAAGATAAATACACCTGAAGAAGGCTTCTTCTGACACCTTTCTTCTTCTTTTTTTCAGCATGGAATAAACCTATTACTTGTTCCTTTGCAGCCTACGCATGCTGACGCAGCTACCCACCTGAAAGATAAATACAGGTGAGCGCCAGGGTCAGTCTTTACCAATCCTTTAATTTCCTGTGCGTGTCTCCCTGGAGAGAGGGCCCAGATATCTGAGGAGCCCCATGAAGTATCGGTGAGGACCTTGATCGACACAGCTTTTTCCCACCTTATTAGTTTTGAAAGGTTAGGGCTGCTACTCCCACACAGCACACTGATTGCCTTTGCTTTAATACCCACTTAGGCAGGCTCTCCAATACGCTGGTGCTTCACTTTTAAATCAGAAGATTCAAGGCCTTAAAGCTCTGAGCTCTTCAATCTGAATGTGTTCACTTACCGCGCATTAACCAGACCCAGGAGGAGTGGCACAAACTTAGAGAGGCAGGCAGGGTCCATCTCTGAGGTACTACGAGACTTTTTAGCCTCCGCTTCCTGATCCATTAAGCTGTTGCTTTTTCATTATCAATGTTTCTCAAGAGCCAAGAACACCGAGTACCCTGGCCAACCGGAGACACAGACAATTACCAAAGCAGAGACACATTGATACAGTAAGTCCTTAAAAGCAGCACTGAGCACACTGCACTTCGGGCGACCTGTAGATGACTGAACTGACAGCCCAGCCCATTCGGACACATTTTCTAAAACTGGATGGTTTCTCTTTACCTCCGATTAGTCATTCCCCTTGATAATGAATATAAACTGCTTGGACCATCACCACGAGACGTCCAAGCAGAACAGGAAAACCCTGGAAAAAAGACTCCAGTCCCTGTTTTCCATACATTCAAAGAAGCATTTAAGGGACACTGAAAGGAGAGCTTGAAGTGAGGCCATACAGATTAATAAACTCAAACACATGTACACAGTTCTGGATCACAGTATGTATGTAGTTTCCACTGTTGCATTTTAAAACAATGGAGAAAACCTCTAATATTATCTCTGACTATCATGGTCATGGCTAGACTGGAACATTTCAGCCAGGAACAGTAACATCTCGCTCTTGAGCAAAAACCAACACAAGTGTGTAGTTATTAAACACCTCAGGGTGAAGGTGGGCCTCTGTGTGTAGCCCAGGTGATGAAAGGAACTGGGAATGAAGTTTAGCTAATGAAGTTTTTGGTAGCATTAGTCAACTTTATTGCCAAACCAGCCCTTCAGGTCATTAGGATTGTTTTGTGTTGGACTTACTAAAACAACAGAGATACCAACAACAAGATACAAAAAAAACGAAAGCATAAATACCATACACATATCATATACAAAATAGTATGCAATGCTACATTATAATGAAGATAATAATCAACTAGTTTTAGTGCAAAATACTACCTCATCTGCCTGGAATATCATGATATCCTTATGCAAAGTTACATATATACTTTTATATCAGTGCTTTGTTAAAGACTGAATAGCCTTAGGATAGGTGCTCTTCCATAACCTTCCTGTTCTAGATTTGATACATCTTAACCAAGGTAAGAAGCTGTAAAAGCTGGATGGGAGTGGTCACTGATAATCTTCAGAGACTGCCGATTTAACTCAATGAGACCTCAGTAAATTGCCACCTGGAATGATGTCCCCCCCAAACATTTTGTAACATCTCTGGAGATTTATACAGTAGAAGCCTGGTTTATGGCTAAAATTAAAGCTAACATATCTGGAAGCAACGGATGGTAAGTCCCAGTAAATTATTTCGGAAGATGTGTGGACCATGCTATCCAGCTGTTGCGAGAGGCTGGATTACAAAACCAGACCACAACAGAATAAATTAAAATGCTTTCAGTTGTTGACCTGTAAAAATGGACCACAGGTAATGGACCATATAACAATGAGACACACCAAACCTTCTGAGCTGCCCGAGTCTCTGCAGGGCTCTTTTCACTATCTGAAGTACATTATTCTCCCATTTGAAGGAGATTATCATACCACAAAAATGAAAGGTATTTTCCGTCTTCACTGTCAATCACAAGAGGTTGCACAGTAATTAATTCCTGTCACATCTTAAACCAAATATGACCTCGTTGGTAATTTCCCTGTGTTCATGATAACACTTGCAGGTTTCTGCATTTTCTTCTTCCTTTGTCTGCCTGTTCCAACAGGATCTCCTGGGCACACTGCTCTCCTGAGAGCTGTCTCGACAGGCTCAGAGCATGGAGTCAGAAGATGCCAGTGAAAGCCAGGAGAAAACATTATCCATGAGATCAAGGCTCAGCCACCCATTCCTCCCCGGAACTTTCCATCAAGTGCTGACTGGGGCTTCAGAGACCATTTCAAGACAGAACAGTAAATCTCACGCAGTAAAACGACATTATCAGAACAATATCTTTTGTCATTGTCATTAAAAACATTTAGTGTAGATTATGATAATTTCCCAAGGAGAAACATAGCTTGGTAGGAGTCTGGGAAAGTTTATACAAGCCCAGATAAGAACATTAAGTACAGTGTAGAATAATAGAAGATACCACATACTGCATACTTCAAGGAGAGTCCCTAAAACATAACATACACTGTATATGGTATTGGTTCCAATACTCTTGTTGCATTTTAAATGTCAATCAGTGGTTTTAAAGTTTACATAACTGCAAGCAAAGAAAAGTAAAAAATCCAGCACAAGCACAAGCTTCAATA